TAGTAAATTGAAAATATTAAAATTAATATATTTTCAAAATATTAACATTATTATATTTTTAATATTATTATGGATAATATTAAAAATATTAAAAATAATTAAAACAAAAGTAAAAATAAAGTAATACCAAGTATTGTATTTAATAATTAATAGATAAATAAATATAAAAGTAATATAGAAACATTTACGATACAAATAAATACATATATAAGCATTGCAGTTATCATTTTCTGTTAATTATAATACATTATATATGAGTTTTCTAATCGATCCTTGATATTCTCCATTTTTTGTAAACTACGGAGATAGTTCATCTGATGTTTGATTTGAGACTGGCGTATTTCAATCTTGCGTTGAACACTCGAAATTAGTTGTTGCATATTATTACTCACGAATGTACTTATCTAGAACAAATTATTCGACATTTATTGATAAGAAATAATTTATCGCCATAAGAGATAACATTCATTATAATATTTTTAATTTCTAAAAATATATAATTCTTTTTTATATATTAATTATAATTTTAATATATATAGAACAAGATATGTTTAAAATATATATGGCATATATATCTAGTGATAAGTCGGATTGTGAGAAGTGAGAAGTCAGTTTGATTAAATAAAGTTAATAAATAAATATAAATTATTTAGATTCATATAATTTACCTTGCCAAAATGTTCTTTAGAATTTACATGATTAATAATATAAGTTAATGCTGCAACTGTACTGATTTCTCTGCACAAATAAAATAGCAAAATTATAATTAGTATATATAATAAACTTTCACATAATTATGAACAGTGTATATTTATGAAGAAAAATATCATTACCTCGGTTTAGCTTTTTTAAAATATTTTAATATTTCGTCTAATACTTCATTCTTTCTTACATGCTTTGCAATAATAAAAGAATAAGTATTAATACGGTCTCTGAGATTTAGATTTAAAACACTTTTTTCCCTTCCTATCAGCGTGAGAAACACCTGGATCGTTCTAAAATTGTCAGAGCAAGTTAAAGATTTTAAAATTGTATTATCACGTGTCTCTTGCCATAAATGTAACATATCTGTCCAAGTTGAGTCGCTTGCTTTCTTCAAACCGTTACAATATGTCCATTTCCACCACGGCAAAATACTAATATTTAGAAACAAAGAAAAAAACATATTACAAAAGTTTACAGTCTGGTATATCTCTCGCTCGATCAAATAATGTATAAAGTATTGCACCAGATACACAAAAAATGTGATTATAAGAAAGCTGTGATTTCTTTTATGAGAAAAATTACTTGTGCGTTTTAGGATGTCTCAGATGCTGTACCAATACCTCCTTGGCCATATGTATACATTCGCGCATTTCGAGAGTACATGCCCATCTGGTGATCTCTTCCCTTAAAGATTTCGTATGATTACTATCGTTAGGATCTTCATCGTAATCTATATCCAGAAGAAAATCTTCCAGCATAGGCCATATTTTTCTCTAAAATCGTTAAATAATATGAAATTTATATTGGCTTATGTTGTTACTTATGAAAAGCATGATATATGCGTGTGAGATATACATATAATTTTTTTTGAAATTAACACACAATTATTGATACAAAATTTATGTTTTATATGCAACAACTTATGAAATATTTCTTATTGACGAAGAAATCCGTCACTATCTACCTTGATCCGTTTGGTTCTTTCTTCTGGAAGCGAAAAAATACTCGATATGCGTTCAAAAGCTTTGATCATAGGATACCACGCTATGTAATTTTTTTCTTGACATAGATAGCTTGCGAGTTTCCAGAATATGGAAGGACGAAGTTGTTTCGCTACCATAAAATGAAATGCGTCATCGATAATTTGAGCACGATTGAGAACATGTATTTCCGTATATCTCGGAGAATTCAAATAATCCGCAATTTTTTTCCAATTTTCATAATTATAATTGACGCGGTAATATCCTGTTGCGAAATAAATTTTTTTGCATTTATTTGATTGCACTTTTTGTTTGTTTTATATTTAAAGAACTCAAAAAGTTCAGCAGAAATTGTGCCTCATAAAAAATGTGTCTCATATAATATGTGCTATCATAAAAAAGATTATAATTTGTACATTACTATTTATAAAATTATTGTGATATTTGAATGCTGCTCCGGAGAATAGAGTTACGCAGAATTTTGTATAAAATTAAATTGATTTTTTTCTCCAAAAGTAATAATCGAATTATATGCAAGAATAATTTATTAAATTAAATTAAATATATTAAATAATTTATTAAATTAAATATAACACATTTTATACTTTTATAAAAGATAACACAAATACACAATAAACATTCCAGCAAATGGTATCGTTGGATGTCAAAACGTGCACTTTCTACCTGGGATAACAGTATTAAAGTACTTATCAGTTTATATTTACCAGCTTGTTGTAAGTTGGCTATTATCCAACCGTTTTCTTCGTACGGCAAGGAAAATTCGCAATACATAAGATCCTGCGATTTTATCCACTGACCGTGAGAAAAGAAATTTTGGAAAAAATTGGGTTTAGTCTGCGTAGTAATAGTTACAGGTATCCACCAAGACTCATTTTTTATATCGGTTTCTTTTAGCCACACTATCACATGTTTAGGATTATCTTGTATTACATTTACTACAGGATAATATGTTTTTTTTATCCAAGTAGCCATTTTCTGTGATACATTAAACGTGTATTCTTTAAATGGTGATTTGTCTAATGCAGTTTGCATAGCGGTCCAGAGATCATTGGGAGTTGCTGATTGAAACATACTAAATTTATAAAAATTATTATTGTTGATAGTTAAACACTGTAATGAAAATTGCATTAGAGAATATAACATTATTACTAATCATTTATCAATGCATTAATTGATGTGACATAATTTATATACATGTAATCATTTAGAAATATAACTTAATTTTTTATTTAAAGTATAATCTGCACTTATTATGCTTAATTCTTTAATACTTTAATGATTTAAACGGTCAGCAGAGCGGGTAGTGCGTATGGAAGGCCCCGGAGGTAATGCGGCTAGCAGTACTCAGGGCCCTTCCACATAAAACATCATGGATTAAGGGGGGTTTTTTTAGTGGGTGCGTGTCCCATATAGCTCCGCCGAACGGCCGGCGGGATGGTATATAATGCATTTTTCCCCCTATGTAAAAAAAAATTCTCTAATGAGAATGTGTGTGTATAATTATTATATTACAATTATTACTTACTGATTATTAAAATACATATTGAGACCTTCTCGAAACACATCAATGGTAAGTATATGTTGTAACATGCGCAACATTGCAGGTACTACAATAATTCATATCATAAAATATGATTAAATATGTTTAAAATTTATTTTAGCGCCCAAAATTTGTGAACATATATTCATGATTTGATAGAGAAAAATTAATTTTATAGAAGTTTGATAATTATATGTTTTTTTCATATTTTTATCAAAAAACGAATTTAATGTACCACTACATTGTAAATAAATTTATTTAAGGCTAGTCTCCCCTATTCTTTTAGTCTTCTCTATTCTACATTCATGTTCACGAATTTATAAATTCGTATAATTATATATTTACTTAGCCTTACCTTTAATGTAACGTGAAAAAGATAATGAATTAATTTCAGAAGGATTGTTTATCTGTGATATAAGCGGTTTCATAATTAAATCAGTATCCAAATGGAGAGATTCATGTTGAACCTGGACTACGAACAAATTCAATATCTGAGAATTTGGAAAAATCTGGAAATGAAAGTTTTGATGTGTATAATCAAATGGATACTCAATCAGAAAAGATGCTCGCATTAGCAATATTGCATGCTATTGCTGAAAAATATAGCTTTGTTATAGTTTTCACACGTTATTAAGTTTGAAAATATATATAATAAAGTTTCTTTATAAAATCATTGAAATTATTATATAATTTATACGTATATCATGGTATAATTAAATAAAATTTTCTAATTAAAGAGAAAAATTAATCAGAGAATTGGATAAGATTAAGATTAAAGATTAATTTAAATTAAAGAGATTTAATCAGAAAACTTTTTGATTTTGATCTCTTCCTAGTAGGAGTTTATAAAAATTGAAAAGAATCTAATGATTAGTATTTTGATACTTATTTTTGTTTTAATATATTCAATATAATTGATATTATATATATATTGATTAGTAATTTTAATTTTAACAGATTATATATAAAAATAATTATAAAAATTTAATATTAAAAAATACCTTATTAATAGCATCCATTCCGAGCAATGTAGCAATACCATCGTTCAGCCAAAGATAAGACCAGCAATATGGACTGACCAGATTACCAAACCATTGATGTGCCATTTTACGTGCTACTAAGGAAGCTACTTTTATTTCGTGAGCAAGAGGATCTATTTCTTCACTATACATAATATCTGTTTCTCTAAAAATTATTTATAAATAATAATGATATATATAAATATGTATATGTATATGTATGGTGCATAAAATCTTTATTAAAAGCATGCCGTTTAAAATATTTGAACTCAACATAGTCATTAAAATATACGCGTTTTTAATTTCCCTAATTTTGCTAATAAATTAATTTTGTCTTTATATAAATGTCTTTATATTGTCCTTATATTGTCTTTATATAATAAATTAATATTTTTATTAGTTACTTTTGTATTACCTATAAAAAATGAGCCTCCAATTTTCCATGCCATCGTCTTGGAAACCCGGAATTACAACATGTTTCGCTATCGAACCTTTTCTCAAGCTCTTCAATTCAAACGTAGAATTAAAATACTGTTTGACATTCTTAGCAACATTTCGTGCGAATTTTATATACCGTGCCGAAAGTTGTCTGCACCATATGTTGATATTTTTTTTTGTATATTTATTTACATACGGATTGCCATCATAATCGGAAATCATAATTGCTACGAGGTAAGTTGGTATTACAGGAGTAGTACGAAAAACTGACCACATCATGTTATTTTTAGTTTGAAGTAGGTTTTGTAGCGGCATATTCGATTGAGCTGTGCAATTCTTATGATGATATATTGCAATGCGAAAGGCAGCTTTGAATTTCGGCTCATCCCAACATGGAAACATTCGTCGAGCTCCAATTGCCTTGAAATGTGATACAGCCAACCATCTAAAACATTTTAATAGCAATCTGTTTATGTTGTTTAATACTATGTCATACGCGTAGATTTTGTCATCGAAACAGAATTTTATAATTTACGTTCTGTTTCGGTGAACTCAAAATTTTTATCTCATTTTAAAAAGATTTTATTTTGTTCAATAAAACTGCAATAACATTCTATACCCCGAATTTATTTTTTTAAACTGCATATAAATATGAAAACATGAAATAAATTAATTCTGATCGATTCAAATTTCTACTCTTGTAATATATACATTATATAGTGTCCATAAAATTTTGAAATATATACATTTATAAATATTAACATTTTCTATTAATAGCTAAAATCTCTTATCTAACTTTAATATGTTTCAATTTAATAAGATTTAAAATATTTCACAACATGTGTGTGTGTTAAAGAAATACAATAAAATCAACTTTTTTTTTTCGTTTAAGATATTAATGTATTATTAGTATAGAGAAATATAATGTAATATATTTATTAAATATCAAGAAATTTTTTGCATGTCACATTGGAGAGCTATAATTTAAATAATGTTTTATTAAGTCATATGTAATATATAATTTAAAATTTTCGGCATGTCGTGGAGATCATATTATTGCCAATAGTTTTTACAGCATTATATATATATAAAGATGCTACTATTTTTAATATCTTAATATTCACTCACCCTTTATTTCCTTTTTCGTTTATATAAGACGTTTTGTAGAAGACTTCTGTGTCATTATTTGAAATACTCTCAAATTTTATATCCAAAGTGTAATTCCCTCTTGATAATGTATGATTGAAATAAAATGTCAAAATGTGCGTTTTATCATGATATTCATATTTTATTGGTTCGTAGATGGTTGCTTTCTTGACTTCTTTTATCAACATGGATTTACGTATTATTACGTAGGAATATGCATGCAAACGTATGTTTCGCGTTGGATGAAGGATTTTTATCTTAGTTTTAATTCTGCCGGAGAAATTAAAGATGTTTGCATTGTTGTCTTGGGTAAGTATTGCCAGCTGGACGTCATAAAATATTGGTATTACATAGTCCGGCAAATAATTAACTCCAATGCTGGAATCATCTTTCCAACTTTTGTTGATAGTATAAGCGCTAACGAATAATAAGCCGCTGCTCAATAACAGTGTTAATAATTCCATGCCAGTTTTTGTTCAGGTACCTACGAGAGAACATTTCTTTTGTTAGAAAAAAATTACAAATTTAAATCGTAGAATAGAATATATGGCGGAATCTTTTATCATGATTTTTATATAAGAAAAATAAGAAATTAGCGCAAGAAAAATTATAGCAATTCTTTTATCGAAAGGATATACAACCTACTTAGAAGAAAAATTTGATAATTTATTACACACGATACAATATGTTAACGTTGTTATTTTTATCTGATTATATAATTATATTTAATAAATGTGTATATCTGTATTTTTAAAGTAAAATTATTCTACTCTACTTATGATATTTGAAACTAATGTCATATATAAAAAAGAAAAATATTTAGCTTGACAGTCAAATGCTATTTTAAACAATTTAAACAATTCATAATTAATTTATGTTTTAATTAGGAAGTAACAACAAATTATATTAGATAAACACGTTTTTTAAATATACAAATAAAAATACAACTTAAATATTATCAGTTTGAGATACTTTAACTTGAAATATAAGAAATCTAGTAAATAATATAAGCTATAATAATATAATTTCTCATGAAAAAATGATTTTTTTCAGCAAAACGAGAATAAATGAGAATTATTTTGATAGTTTCTTGCATGTATTTGTGTATAAAATTGCATGCTGATTAAAATGCAGTTCTCTTCGCAATAATTAAGTTATATTATTAGTTATATAATTGAAACATTATATTATCACGAGTTATTAAATCAAAAGTATATCTACAAAATTGTGATCTTACCATTTCCAGAGAGCACCGAGAATTGATGATATTGTCGGCGCTTCACATCATAATCGATCCGTAATCTCCCACATTCCCATGTAAAGGTCTTTCGACAAGGTCTTATAAATATTTTGATGGTAATAAACGTGTCAATAGAAGATAAGTAACATAACAGTTAAATTTAAAATACTTTTTCTCGAAAGGTACATACATGAATATGTACACAGCCATGAAAATAATTTTTTTTTTTTTTTTTCATAAAGGATCATTTCTCGTCGTTTGTATCGCAACTTATATTTGTACATTTTGTGTAAAATTAATAGAAAATCTAAAATTAACGAATTTTTTTCGTACTTTGATTGATACACAGATGCTTATAAATTTATTGTGGGAGAAAGAATACAGATGTATTACGAGAATTTCATATATATATATAATCATTAAAAATATTAACATAAA